ACGAACCCGAAGCGTTAAATCTAGTATAGATGACAGAAGCGCTACATTAAGTTTATCAACATTATTCATATTTTGATCCCACTATCATTAATTACCTGAATCCAAACCCTCTTCAGGCCCTACATGAACCCACCATCTTCCTTTTCCACCACCTTGTAATTCAGCCGCTGAAGTAAATGAATATGTTAAAAAGGTGAGACACTTTTGCATAATCGCTCACCTTGAAATGACAATAAACTCTTGTTACAGGGTTTGATGAGTGCTGCCTGAAAGCATCATATAATAATAATCTGTTTGCATCCGTTTCAAAATTAGGCCGAAAGCCATTACAGTGCGAATATATTTTGCAACCGTAATCCCCGTCTGAATGATCATTGTCATCCTCTTTAGCCCTCCTTCTCTTCCACATTTCCCCAAACATGCCTCTGCCTTTGATCTCACCAGAAACAATGCAATGGCTGATCCAAGAATAAATCCAGCCACCACATCTGAGCAGTGGTTCCGATACTCTGACACTCGGTTGAGGCCAGTGAGAAAGGCCGAACAGAGCGTGCCCAGACAGAGCACAGGCTTGGCCAGGCGGCTGGACTTGGTCTTGATTGTGCTGGTGATGTACATCTAAGAAAGAAAAAAAAGAGACAGAGGGACGATCATATCATTTTGACTGTGAGGATTCAATGATCATGTTAACTTTGATGAAGGAATTGTATATAAGATAAAGCAAGATTCCTCTCTATAGGTAGACATGAAGAAGTCTAAGGTCTCATGCAGGGAAACAAAAGGTGTTCACACAGATATGCAGTTAAAGCTTTCACAGTTGTGAGTAATAACTCTTCAGACAGTTTTCTTTTCCCCCGACGGGACTGTAAATTAAAAGTTAAACAATAATTAAGCGCTTCTTCAACAAAAACAAGCACTGGACAGAGTATTTCCACATATTGCACATCCTTCCCTTTATTCCACGCCGCTCTCATCCAATGCCAACAACGGACGTCAACATTTTGAAAGTCTCTTTTCTGATGGTTCCTGTGGAAAAGAATCCTCACTTATGCAGCTCTCAACCTTGAAGCGAACTTTAATAAGTTATGGTAACTCTAAAAAAAAAAGGAAAACACATTGTCCAATGTTTTCTTAAGACATGTCTTGCCCCTTTTTGCCAATTCATTCATAAAAATACAAATCTATAAAGAATTAAATTACAAATTAAAATAAATATATCACAGTCTTCACAGTCAAGGAGATGGCAGACAATATTCTTTCCAATTTAAAGGAATTCTTCTAAGCCAAATCTCAAGCCACAATGAGCTGCATACTTTATTCAGACCAGGCTGAAAAAGATGCTTTAGTAACATCCAATAAGATATAAACTTGTCTCCTTCTGTTTAAATCAGTACTGCTAGACACGTGCATTTGCAATTGTGTAGTTGAAAACAACAATCTTTAATCAAGGACATGCATTTTAGAATTCAAAGAAGGATCTGTTGTTTTCGTGGTCATATAATTGCTCGGCTCACTCTGAAAGCTTTTTCCTCTCTCCAGACCTCTCAGTGAGCAAATTTGCTTTATTTGAAACCTTCTTTCCTGCACTCTCAGGATTTTACCATTTCCAGATTTCTGTTTCTACTTCCCTCTTTTCGAATTGCCCAGAAAACATATCAGATTAAATACAACAGAATCACAACAGTGATGTTGCGTAGACTGAGTCGGGGATGATGTCATCTCTGATCTTACCCATATTTGGAGTAAACGCTGGAATCCAGCTGCAGAATCCAAGTAAAAATATGGACCACCACATCCATATTAGCTGTAGGCCTTAGCCTTACTTTACCAACATTTCTCTTAAAAAAGTAGTGGAATTTCCCTGTGTCCTACAAACCACTGCAAAAATAAGTTGTAGGGGAAGAAAGCCGATAAGACAAAAGGAAACACGAGAAAGATGTTCCAACTCTTATGTGTCTGACTTAACAGATACTTCAGCAGTTTGGGTCTACTACATGATTGAAAAGGATGCCTGGCTAACAAAAAACACGCAGAGCATGAGATAACTCCAGCTGGGACCACTTTAAGGAAAAGAAAAAAGGGCAGAACCACAAAAATCGGCAAACTCCACTCGTTGGGGGACTGTGGGTATGACATTTAGTCTAATTAAACATACCTAACCAGCAGGTTCAAACCAACGCCATCACCATTGGGCTTGTTCTACTCACCGTCAGGTAAACGGCGGAGTAGACGCTGAGTGAAGCGTCCTTGGATGGGAACGACCGGCGTGCACTCTCAACCACAACGGGGCTCCCGGTGCAAATGTTGCCGTTGACGATGAACTGGTGGTTGAAGCGGCACTCGGTGCCGGTGTAGTTGGGCTTGCAGACGGACAGGAAGTACGGCGAGAGACCTCCGGTCACTACCTGGCCGGCGTTGACGAAGATGTCCGTGGCAAACAGACCAAACGCAAACACACCTGTGGCACACAGACACAGATGAAGGTTTCATTCATTTTTCTCCCACTTATTGAGTTAGTGATTCCCAGTTAAATGGCAGCTACCGTCATGTGGAGCAGAAAACTGTATACGACATGTGAATTCTCTGAAAACAAGCAGGGGTTTTCCTCAAGTTGGTTTGATCACACATCAGCTAGGGTCTGATTTTGTAAAAGAATGTGGTTTATGTGGAGCCATTTCTTGAACGGAAAAATTCAGACACTGATCTTTTAATACAAATTGCATTGGTTCGGCTTCCCAGGTGTTGACCGTGTTCCATAGAGCTGATTTAAGCCGAGGTCACAGTCGAGCAAAGAGGAACGAAGGTGGACTAGCAGCAAAGAAAAAAAACAGGAGTTAATGTGAATGATTGCACTGATTCTCCTGGTCCACCAGCCCTGACTCGTGTCTGTGTCTGCCTTCTTTTTTTCCTGTGAAATATTGCTGCTGATTATTTGGCCTGCTTAGCCATGAAATTACTGTCCTTTGTATTGTCATCCAGGCCGGGGGTGATGGTGGTTAGGGTGTGTGTGTGTTTGTGTGTGACAAGGGGTATTTGTGAGGTGTACACAGCCATGATTGTGTGAAGGGCATTGAGAGAAATGTAGAGAGGGGGGGGGGGATTAGGGTGATGGGAGAGCAGATGGGAGAGGAGAAGAGAGCATGAAACTAAGAACCGCTACGATCCTTCAAATCTGAAAAAGAAAAAAACTGCTTGATAACAGATGGAAACAAACAGAGTTATTGTCAAATGCAAGAAAAATCTTTTGCTTTTTAACTTGAATGAATACTTTCCAAAGAAAAGTATTGTATAATTCATATATTGCCCAGTGTATGTTTGATAAAGATATTTCAAACAGATGAACTGACTGTTGACTGTGTATATGTGATGAAGATTTCATGTTGTCAAGACTGGGCTTTAAGGGGATAGATGACAACATCTTGACATCTGCACCCATCTCCTATTACCTATTAACATACTACCATCTTACTCCTTACTTACTCCTGTAAACAGTTTTTCTGGATCAAGTGGCCCAGTTTTTATTAGCTGTGCCCAATAAAAACCTCACAGCAGAGTTTTGACAACAGGAGTGTAATACTAAACAAAGCAGATTAATTTTGTGTGGAGTATTTAACTTTGTCTATGTAGTCTTGCACATTGTGAGGGGCTGTCTTCATGCACAACAGTACCACACATGTAAAGGTCCAGTGCACCAGCACAGTGTGTTCCACACGTGTGCATGTATACTATAAGACAGGCAAATGTATCAGTCGAGCTTCAAACCTCCATCAGACGTGTAGCAGATGCAGTTTGAAATAGCCCACATTCCATTGCAGCATGATGAAGCACAACGGCTACAGTGAGGAGCAAGCTACAAGCTAAACTCAGAAATGATGATGGATGATAAATGTTGAAATTCTGGCTCGGCTTTTCTTGCCGGAGCTTGCACACCCGCCAGCTAAATTAAATGATGCATTTCATTATCTTGGTAAAAGCCTTCGTTGTTTCAGATTCAGCAGCAGCCGTAGTCCCACAGCAAGAACCAGGGGATCGCAGGAGTATGTGTCAAACATATGTTATGGCACATACTATACACATGCAGAGGATCTGAGGGCAGATGTGGAGCATTAACTCTTTCAGTGTAAATGCATGAACATATATGTTGGACAAGTGACATAATATTTGACTTCACACACACAGGACATGGACATTTTAATGCACATATTCCAAAGATCCCTGGGAGAGCCAGAGACAGCAGAGAGGGGATTGATAGTTTGCATTATCATGAAGCTTTTGCTTTTTTGTTTTTAGGAACTACATTAAATTACATTAATCAGCAACACATTTCTGATCATTCTCTTAACTGACAATGCACTGTGGTTCGGTTCTAAGCTAGCACGCACAGAAGCCACCTACAGACCCCACAACTCGGGGAAATACCTGATAATGTGGGGTAACATGAACATGTGTGGGCCCGGTATACATAACTTGACTGTGACTTTACCTATAAAGCGTATGATGCGGCGAATAAGTGGGTTCAGGTAGCAGCAGTCTCCTGTTACTATGGTTTTCTCCTGGGCCAGGAGAGATTCCCTCGTTGATTTCATCACGTACATGGAAACCTCCCCAATAAAGATCTACAAAAGGGCAAAAACAGAAAAGAGCAGAGAGAAAATTAACATTAAGGACGATATTTAGAAAGCTCCAGAGGTTAGGCTATTACTAGAAAGAGCAAAAGAAAAGCAAAGAAAAGGAAAGAAAGGGAAAAAACATCAGGTTTTGGTATCTTAAGGGAGGGCAGATGAACATTTTGCTCCAGTCTGGCCTGCGCACGTAAACCACTGTGTCATAATGTAGCCTTTTGTTCGGGTCCATTATAGAGTGGACATTACATCAGGTCTAATGGAAAAACTGCTGCTGGACACACAAAATGGAACTCACTGCCAACAGCCCAGGGCAATACACGCCGTTACAAAAATATATGTGTGGTTAAGTAGCACAGAGGGCATGCAGTTGATGCACATGCGGTCTTGGCCTTTGATAGAAATGTGTGTGTGTTTATATTTCTGTCTGTAAAAAGAGTTGCCCGAGGACAAGAGCATTTTTCTTATGTCTCCCATGTATGCTTCTTTTTCTCCATTTGCATGGTTTTGTGAATGCAACTCAAATCTTTGTATTTGGCCGTGGCTCTTTAAGTTGCAGATGCTGGGTGATACAAGACTGAACACTGGATGGGGCTTTGTCTGGAATATAAGCATTTAGGGGGAGGATCAATGTTTTATATATACTAAAGGTGGCAGAAAGGATAACTGCAAATACAGAGTGCAGTTGTAGTCGCTTGTATCAAGAGAGGAAAATGCGTCTTGCATTGTGCAAATTAATAGATTCAATATTGGCGTTCTTACAAATGAAAGCCATATCTACAGATAGGTACATACATCACAGCCACATCAGAGGTGCCTTTTACTTGTATTCTATTCAATAACCAAAAGAAGACACCCCCCGCCCTTCCACAAAGAATTGATTTGTTTTTAAGTTTAAGAAGCAATGCCTGTGCTTCTTGTGACCTTGTAAATTGTTCCTTAATGGGCTTGTATGCACATTAAAAAAAGAAAATCTATCTCTTCCGTTTTGTCCCCTTTTATATATACTGTTCCTACAGGTCAATTCTCTTCATCACCTTCTCTTCCCATGTTTTCAAAACAATCCCACCAATTTCTACATCACTGCTCCCACCAAACAATCTTTTTTACCTTGATTTGCAGATCCAGCCATTTATAAGTGAATAAATAACAGACTGTATTTGCACCTCAGGTTTTTCTTCTTACGGTCTTAATGTAATTAAACATCTACATTAATAAAGCACATGTAACAGAGTTCGATGGTCTGATTTACAGCAAAAACTGACTGCATACAAAGACGGGTCAGCTTGTGAACTCCAAGCTTTAATTCCAAAAATCAATGGGACATCCCATTGATTGAATTGATAAATTTATCCATGTATCACCACCTATGGCCTGCGGTCTACCCAAGACGTTAATGAGAGTGTGTTACACCCTAAACAAATTGCCATTTCATCACAGGGCTCACAAAGAGACAATCATGCATGGAAACACTCCAAATCTTACCCATAAACCTATGACAAATTTTGAATAATGGGTTCCTCATGCCTGCCTTCACTCAGGGAAGAGGCTGCCAAACTTTTTTAGGTTATTAAGTGCTGTTAGGTGTGATCAAAGAAACCTTTTCAAACTATTGGAGGGGAAAAATCCCTTCTTATTTGTGTGGACAAGGCTGCAGCTGTGGCAAACTGTAGCTCAAGCAGATGTGCATTGAAGTGGTGCAACTTTGTGATGATTGGTCAAGACAGTAAAAGAGCATGGTGATTGGTTAAGAGTACAAGAGCAGTGCTGGTAGCTGCCTCTGACGGAAAATGGTAAACCTGACTTGAAAACTTTTTCAAATGACCTCAGTCTTCCAACCAAATACACAATCCTTGAAATGAGCCTCCCACAAGCCATCACCCTCAAGCAGCCATAATGACACACGGATGTTAGAGAAGAAAATGAGAAAGTTATCCAGACTCTGAAAAGAACTTGAAAAAACGGCTTTTTGGCCGTTTTATCAAATAAAATAGCACGCTTATACTTCCCCGGATGTTAGGGCTGTGCAGTTACTCAAAAGCTTTTCTTTAAAATAAGACTTTTGGCTTTCAGTGATAATGAAAAGAAAAACGGGAGCAATTCTCTCATTTTTTCTTCACTTACTAAGCCACTGCCTTGCTTCCTTCTTAGCAGAGTGGCTAATCCTAATATCAATCCCCATTACAGGGTGGCACAATTATTTTAGCTTATTTTAGTCAAAATTATATTTGGTTTGTTTATACTTGTAGAGGTCATGACAGATGGAATAATGGTAACAACTTTTTTGCATTTATCTTTTAGTATCTGAAGAATTGTCATCAATTGTGATCATGATTATGTTTTACTTATAATGAAGCAACCAAAATACATGTGGTATATCTCCCAGTCCGAACATAAATGTAATCCAAATTTTATTCAAAATTGTGACTAGAAGCCCCGCTGTACAATACTTTGCATTCTGTACCCTACAGAAACTATGGAAAAATAGTCTTTCTACTCAGAAAAGTCCGGAAAAATGTAACCTCTGTGTTATATAACTCATTCTTTGACGACACAAAGAAAAGATAAATGTTTTTTCTTTCTTGGTTGAAATTGGATTCCAGCTTTTTACAGTTTGAATTTGTATAACATTTTTAATAACATTATATAACAATATTCTAAGAGTGTGATGACCTGAACAAAAGTGTGGCACGACTGTTAAGTTCTCAAACATGATTTGGAGTCCTGCTGAATAAATTCCCCAACATGATAATATGCAAACTTTGATTGGTGTTAGCCATTTTATCTTCGCCTAATATCCCCTGAAATTCACCATTTGCTCCAAGTGCACACATTAAGAGAAGGAAAATTTCATATTATTTAATAGCACACTTTGAGAAAGTCCCACAGGCTCTCAAGGTGGTTAAGCGAATGTTTCCTAAACATGGACATGGCCTCAGTTCCATCAACACTTTTCAGGGACATAGTGCCATTATCTCTGAAGGTGATGACACCGACTTTGTTGCTTGTTCATGGCTCAAAAAGTTTGTAGACCGTTGCATGAATACGACCCATCTAACCTCCACAGATTCCTTTCAGTCCGGCCAAGTGGAACGGTGTTTAAATTGCTGCCTCTGAACTAATTGGCCAACATCTCAGCCTAGTCATCATTAATTCTGATTGCCTACTTCCCTGTTTTATGAGGCATATGGAAAATGAGCGATACACATATATATATTATATATAAAGTTTCAAGTTGAGCTCAGGCACATGACAAAGTACTGTCGAAGGGCAGAGTTGAAAAGTTTTGGGCAACATTGGGACGGACAAACAGACTGAAATAGAATAAAAGTTTATGCCAATGAGAAGGAGAGAGAGAGAGAAAGGTTAGAATAAATACAAATTTGTAAAAGAACTCTTGATGAAAAGATTTGATATTACCATTTTTAAATGAGTTCTATGTTAATTTGCATACAGCAATAGTATCTCTTTCAGACAACCATCCATCCATTATCATAGCCGTTTATTCCCTAATGGGGTCACGGGGGGGACTGAAGCCTATCCCAGTGGTCAATGGTCGAGAGGCGGGGTACACCCTGGACGGTTCGTCAGTCCATCACAGGGGTCTTTCAGACACATAATGAAAAAAAACTAACTAATTTATGGATGCAAAACAAGTATGATATGAACATAGTTTTAAAATGTCCTGATTGCCAGAAAACCAATAAACAGCAATACAGAAATGTATTGACCATTGTGCAAATCTGAATGGAAATACAGTATATGAAGAAAGACAATTCTAACATACCTGAAAGCCAATATTTGTAATGTTAATTAGCACCTCTATTCTTTCACATACTCTGAAGTGTTCTTCTCATTTATAAAGTATATGAAGGCCTCCTGACAATCCAAAGCTCTTCTTTGGATTTTTGGGCTGAATTAAATTCCATTTTTGACAATCTGCTGCTGCTGATTTTGGAATATTTAGAATATTTTTCTAGGTCTATTAACTTCTTTTGTTCTCCACTGGTCCAGTTTGGTCGTTTTTTAATGGACATACTGCTTAACAGTTAAAAATATGAGAATTTTTAATAATTGCTCTTTTGGAAACTATACTTGTCATAAAACATCATTTTAGGCATTTCTAACCGCTCTCTTTGCCATTTTTCCACATTAAATTACAGACTCTCAATACTTAACACAGAATTTCTAGTGAGTCAGCACGGTCTGCTTTCACACTTAGGTATAGGGAGAGTATGCACAGCTTACATTTTTTCTCTACACTAAAAGTGTTAATACAGAGGTTTAGTCCATAATACTTGCTCAGCATTAGGGTTAGTCCCAGATAATGAGAATAAATTAGATAAAAACATGGAGACGGACAGAAAGCTCAACGCTATTGACTTGCAAGTAAACAGTGTTGTGTGTGTCCAGGAGTCAGAGAGCTCTGACAATCACACCTATGATTAAGTGCCTCTTGAAATTGTAAAGGACCTGAATAAATAAGATGTCTGCTTGGAAAAGAAGTAAAACCATGGATATGGAAATGTGTGAAGTTTAATGTTGTAAGTCATTCTATATGACTATTTAAAATAATTTCAGAATCATTTTGAAATGGAACTTCAGTACTCCCTATTTTGAGATACAAATCTTTTCTAAATGATACTACTAAAAAAATTAAGATAAAAAAATGAATTTGCAACTGTTTGTGACTAAACATCAAATGTTCATCTTTGATCGTTGATAAAGTAAACATGTATTTAGCAAACACTATGCAAACTGATTTTTCCTATATTAGAACCAGCAGCTAAATTCTATACATCAGCAGCCAATTACTTTTATTCTACTTTTTGAAGACTAATGGAATCACCTCTCTGTCAATCTTGCAGTGTTCTTGCTTCAGTAAACTGCAGTGACTTTGAACCAAAAACAGATTAAAGGAGGCATGAAAGCTGCCACCGACGTTGAATTTAAAATGAGAATCATTCCCATGAACCAAAATCAAACAGAGCAAATGTGGTGCAGTCTAACATCCTGGACTCTGGGCCCCTTAGTTAAAATGTATTACAATGAATAGGATCGCAAACATATACTTAAGCTTCAATTTAAGATCTCGAATAACTGAAATAAAAGTCAGTTTCCTTTTATCAGAATGCATTCCCTGCAGTAAGTTTGAAATAAGCTGTGTCTGTGTACTGAGAGACAGACACAATGCTTCATTCTTCACGTTTTTCCATTTTAAACGTGAAAAAACTAAATCGGACATTACGTAAACAAATGCCATCTTGCATTAGGCGGCAATCGCAAAGCATGTGAGGTGGGTTTTATAATAGGCTGAACTTGGGCTCAGAGACATATGGTGCGGTGGGCAACATTTGCAAATATGGAGCTAGGCTGACACTGTGTGGTGGAAACCTGCAACTCCTAGATGTCATGCTCACATCTGCAGCGTTATGAATTTGTGCTCATTATGTCTACAACTCTCTCTCAGCTAAACAACATGGTGCACTACAAATTTTTTTCTATTATCTGTAATTATGAAACCATTATTCTTACTATGCCACTGATGCAATTAATCACACTTATTGCCGTGCCATTCCCCTCTATATACTGATGCACAGCCATGGCTCATTAATGGTATTAATCACACCTATGCTTCCCGTGCTGTGGCAAGCATCAGCAAAATCCCAATGTTGTTTATTAAATATGGAATAAGCAGGTATACAAAATGGGTGGAGGTCTCTCAAATCTAGAGTGGAAAATAGCAGCGCTCCCGCCTTTGGTGTGAGATTAAGGATTTATGCTTTCGTGCTGCATGACGTTCCATTGTCAACGTCACGAAACGGAGAGTCACAGTAGATGCAGCATGAAGCTAAAAATACATAGCAGGGCCAAACTTATCAGCCGACCCAAAAACATATGGTCAGACAAAGAGCCATAACTTCTTCCAATCCATTTACCAGGGAAACAGGGATAATTATATAAGGATAAGGTGATGTAATCTGTGGTATACCATGTGGAACTGAGTTTGAGGTAACATGTATAATAATAGTATATTGCTGAACTAAATGAGGTCTTACAAATGTTTAAATATGAAATATGGCCTTTTAGAATATAAAATGTAGCAGTGACAGTGACCGAAAGCTTTACATTAAACATGCATTATCAAATGCAGCTAATATGTGCTTAAATGATGTTTTTTATTTCCAATTTTAAAACACTGGAAATTTGTATACAGTCATATATTTAGTCGCGGGCATTCATGATATTATCTTTCAACTCGTCATATCTCAAGCAAGTAGTTTAGAGTAGAAAAAGCGAATAACAAATGAAACAGACGATACCATGAAAAAAAAAGCGTGCCACCTCTGACAAAAATCATGACACATACGAAAACCCCCCCACAGTGAGAGGGGCGTGAGATGGGCATTACTCACTACAAGGGTGGGCGCAGCGGCCACCACGCAGTAGAGGATGAGGGGCGGGACGAAGCTGGACTCCTCCGTCCCGGGGTACGGCTTCATCAGCTCAGCGTCGTTGCAGAAGAAGCCCTGCACGTGCACGCTGAAGAGGTCCGTGCACTCCATGTAGTAGGCCAGGAGCACCGTGCCAGACATGATGACGAGCTGGAAGAAAAACATGCCAGGTTCAGATGCAGGAGGACGGAGAAGAAAATAAAGAAAAGAGGCAGGCAGAGGGGAAAAAAAAAAAAAAAAAAAGAAATTCGAGGAAAGAGGCAGGCAGAGAGGAAGAAAAAAAGAGTTGTTAGTTGTAGGTCCACCCAAAACAAACAGCGCTGTCCCGGCTTGAGTTTCAGCTCAGTGGATTTCTTTACACAGAGTTGTTAAGTAACCGATTCCGGAACGTGTCGCTCTGTTCCTCTCTCAGCTGTAAAGAGTCAAACCGAATATACAAAACAACCACATAAACCCGCTAAAATGGAATCTCTCTCCCTCTCTCTTTTTTTTTTTTTTCTCCCTCTGTCTCATCCTAACTCAGAACAAGTACATACACCACCCCGCACCACCTTCATTTACCACCTCCCTTCCTTCCCTCACCCCCTCACTTCCTTTTATCCCACCAACATCCTCTTTTGTCTCTGGCCTCCTTTTTGCCGTTTCTCTAGACTCGGCTGCGGGCGGTTTCTCACATACGTATATAAATATATATTGTTTGTACATCTTCAGTCACTGATAATGAACCCACAGTGGAATATAGGATGCACCGCATGCTACAGAACGGCGTTTAATGAGGTTTCTGAGAATCAGCTGCGTTTGTGTCATTCACCCACTGCCGTGCTCCAACTGCAGCCATTCAAAGAAGCCTGCCGCGTCTGGCATCAAACGCGGGAGATGAGATGTCTTCATATCTTAATGCAGTGGAATGAGGACGCTTTCAGAGGAGCTGGATGCGAAAGTATCACGGAGTCTTAGTCTGTGGAAATACTGCCAGCTGGAGCTACTTTATATAATGTGTGGTAATGCTAAATTAGCTTCACGATTAGTACATCAATACAATTCTTCCTCCCTGGAGTATCAGAAATTATGTGTCAGCCTGTTTAAACTGGATAGCACTAACATCTAATTACCCTTTAACTTATGTGTGCTGAAAACCTGCCAGATCTGTATAAGCACACATACATATTCATAGAGTCACTGCTGCTACTATCTTTGGCTTCATACAATTTGGGGAGGAAAAAAGAAAAAGGACAAAAATTGGTCAAACAAGCTTCTTGTAATACCTGGCACAAACACCAGGTGTCACTATGTCACTGTTGCAGATTTTCTATCTATATATATATATATATATTGTATGTCTTCATAAGTATTCACTTATGAAAACAGTGTGAGATTCTTATTATCAAAAACACCTTAGGAGATTTTTTTTCGAATAAAAATAATTAATTGTTTGCTGGCCACGAGCTTGATCATTACATATCAAATACAACTTTAGACCATTGACTGAACCATTTAGAGACCGAACACGGCCTCCCCATTTAGAAAAAAACACTTCTGACATGTACAAGCACAGAAAGCACATGTCTGGAGGTGGTACAAAGTTAAATGGGTTAAACAGCTCATTGTTTGGGGTCCCAGTAGGTCAGAAGTGCTCTGGTCCAGAGAGCTGGGCGAGACCTGGAGCTCCTTGTTGACTGCCTGCAGCTGTTCCAGGGCCTGGAATAACCTTTATGCAGCTGAAACGTCTCACAGCGGCATTTGCATAGCGTCCGTGCAGCATCCTCAAAGCATCGTTGAATGATGACCAATGTCTGTGACCACAGCACATCTTTAGTGGAGTAAGGAGCCTGAGTTATTTATTTTTGAGAGTGGATTCAGGAGCAGGGCCAGAGGGTCAAGAGCAGCTGACATTTTCAGCTCCTGAGATGCCCCTGTTGGCTTGAGTCTTTGCAGATAAGTAAAAGTTACTTATATCTGTTTACGTGTTATGGGAACGAAGGTAGTTAAGGAAAATATTGATATACAGTAGGTCATTTCAAATGGAGTGGAAGTCACCACTAAGATGCGCTGGATTTGAATTGTAAAGCTTTTACAGCGAAATGTTGTTGTTTATATGTCCTTTTTTTAATATATACTTCATATACACAAGTATATTATAAAAGAAAATACCACAAAGGTAGAGCTCAAATCACAAGCCTTCCTGACACCAAAAGCCTCTTTTTCCTCTCCCATCAAGGGTGGGAAAAATCATTCAACATTTTTAAGAAATGGCTGTTTTTTGCATCTGAAACTTGTGTCATCAAAGCATTTCATGTGTGTCCCAGACTGGTGAAAGTGGCCATTTCGGGTTTAGGTCATGAGGGCAATAGAGCAATAGGGCTGACACAGAACAGGAGAGTCATTTTGGCACATGTGCTCCTGTGACAGATGGCCAACCAATGATATCCACTTATATCCGGGAGTGTGCGTCAATGTGTCTGTTGTGAGGAATCTTATCTGAAGAGCTATTTTTTCCCCCCCCATTTTATCCTGTCCATACAAGGACACTGCGTTGTACTTAGCGGTGTCACACCGTTCACGTGCATTAAGACTGCCAGGAGGCTGTGAAACTGGCCAAAAGCTAACAGATTACAGGTTTCAGATGAACAGGAATCCTCCTGCTCCCCTAAAACTGCTTGAACACACAAACAATCCAACTCCAGCCCACATGCTCAGACATGCAAGTAGTGTACGATTCTGCTTTTCGTCTGAACTCCAGCAGAGCAGTCGTTTATAACATTATTCATTGGATCCCTTGGAAAATATGTAAATTCCTCTAAACGTGTAAACCCATGTAATACCCAGCAGGATAACACAAGGATGTCAGATTTATGTAGAAATGCACAAAAAAAAGGTTCTGAGTGGATAACTGAGTCAAGTACAACTGATGAACAGTTTGTTGTTGTTGTTTTTTTACCATGATTCCCTCCAACCTTCCCCGCTTTTTTATTTTCTATTTTCCAATCTTGAGAGCACTGCAAACTCAGCCATAACATAATTTTAATATCCTAACCTCACTACAGAATGAAAAAATCTATTTAATCAACTGGGTATAAATACTGAGATATCAAACCGGCACTATACAACCTCTGGAGCATTCATTTATAAAAATCTTCCTAATAACAATCCCTCATCTTAACCCAAAGAAATTGTATTTTTTATTTCCCACCTTATTCTTTTTATCCACAACCATCAACAACATAGGGAGCCGTAGCCGTTTGAAGTAATCAAAAAATATAAAAAGCTTTTTCGCCTTCATCTGAGGCTTTGCTTCCCCTGTCAGCTGTCTGTTGCAGGTCGTGTTTGGTTAGGAGTAACTGCCATTTGAAAAAGATGTGGAAGTCAAATTGACGTGTGCGTCAAATTTATTCTGGTGTTGCTCTTCTTTTCTGTGACTTTTTTTTTTTTTTTTTTTTTTTTTATTAACCAGCTTTTCTGTGACACTTCCACACCTGAATGGGTGTCCCTTTCTCACATGTAGCGTGCTCTATTCTGTCCTCTTTTCAGTTGATGTTACACCACATTTTGGCTGTCATAAAATGGTGAACTTAATACAGAGTACCACTTTTTTCCCATGCTACAATTCATAATTTACTCGCAATTAAATTAAAGCCTGGTAATGTGTTTCATGCAGTTATTTATGAATGGGTGGAAAAAGGTAAGGGTCAAGTCAAAGCAAGAATAAAATCTGTTAGCAAGAAGACATCCCACCACACTCAGACAGAACCATTTTAGGGCCTCGAGATTGATTCTGGCAATAATGGTTTCAAAACTTTAACCCTACTATATCTGTCTATATAGATGTGAGGGACAGACTGGTTAATTTCTTATTCATTTCAATATAGAGTTCTCATCGAATTATCAACCAGTTTTTAGTTATCTACTTTTGTCAAGTTAACTTTGTTCATGTCCCTTTGAATTCTGGTGCATTTACAAATCTGTTTAATTTCAACGGCAATGAAACCAACGTTTAAAAATCAATAACAGAGTGATTTAAAACACCCAAAACTGTATCCATTCTCGTCCTCTTCTCTGGTATTAAGTCACATGCTCAACTGCCCGTGCAGAGATCCCCACACCTTCATCCACACTCCCGCCTGCAGCTCTTCCTGGGGACACCCAGGTAATCTTCAGCTTGACATGATGTATAATATTTCCAGGCTATCCTCTTTGAGGGATACTTTAAAATACCTCCATTGGGATGTCTCCGCAAGGCATTCTGACCGGAGGCCCGAACCACCCACAACGGGCTCATTTTTTACGTGGAAACACAGCAACTGGAATAACTCAGCTCCACTCACTGTTCCTGAGGGTGAACCTAGAGACAGCTCATTTAGGCTGTGTATCTTTCTTCAGTCTCAGTGTTTTTGTTACTTTTCAGTTTATAACCACAGGTGATGGTTGGACTTGGAGCGACTGATAAGTCATGAGCTCAGCTCTCCCTTTATCACAGCATCCACCACACTATAAATTCAAAGCATTTTTGGCCACAGTGTAACCGTTTTGAAATAAAACGCAACGGATTCGTAGAGAATTGGAACTTTTCAAATCACAAATGTATACATTTTCAAAGAAATTTCCCGTTACACATTTCAGACCATTTACTCAAACACGGTTAATTGAATCTTCATACAAATTATCATACAATCACCATTTTGTTTTTCCACTTCAACCCCGGATGTTTTTTATCGTCAAAACCATCAGTCACATCCTGGCCCCACAAACTGAAAACAACCAGGAGGCTGTTCCATAAATCCAAGACAAGCCTAGATTTTCAATTTACTGTCAAGCTGTGTTAGCAGGATGGAGACGAAAACTGACAGCAACAGACATCTAACCCCGGCCTGCCAAGCCAAGACCATGATATTACGCCTTTGTTGTCAAACTTGTCTCTGAGTTACAAGGAAGACAACTTCTCTGTTTTATTTTCCTTTTTCTTCCCCTCGTTCACTTCTCATATTTCCAAATAATCCAAACTTTGTCCTTAAACTTATCTTTTGTAATTTTTTAATGAATCAGTTAGTTCAAATGACTAGAATTGGTCTGTGTTTATCGATCACTACTCGTTCGTTCATGAGCTACAACCAGTCAAACTAACTGGACATTTTTATACTAGAAGAATAAGGAGGCACGAATTGGACATAATAGAAATACTTGGGCTCTGGGCTTTTGTCAGATGGGATTTGATATTCGGTTTCCAATCCAAAACTATTAAAAGATAAAAACAGCTAATTTTGGCTACAACACAAAACCCCTGCTGAGGGAAGGTTTGCATTGACCAAACTGGGTGCAATAGCTCTGAAAAATGAAATGCATTAAGTTAATATACCCACTACAAAAACAGTGTTTGGACATTGTTTATTCATATTCTCTTATTATTTCTCATCCTGGTTTGCTTGTTTGTCTTTTGTTTTGTTTTTTCAACTAACAGTCTGAAGAATCATTACATGCAAACAGTATGTAAGTAATAAGTGAGCAGGCTTTTCAATGTTTACTTGATTTCTACATTTCACATTTGGCTGAAAATGTGGATATTGTTATAGGTAGTCTAACTATAAAGTAAATTATTGCCCATATTTCTGTAAATAAAGCCTTATTATCCAAAGCACTAATTTTCCTCTGAGTCTTCACAGCTTACCTCAAAGGTTTCTGCTTACATGTATTTCACACCAGCAAAATTTCACTTTCTTCATCTTTATTTGACTTTATTCCTCTTTTATCTCACCTCTCATGTAGCAAAAGTCTGTTTCCAATCTGTTTTTTCATATCCTAATGTCATTCTTTATGCCATTTAATCTAAAACTCGTCCTCATTTCAAATAATCTATGATGGTAAATGGCGGCTAAAAACAATAATCTTGAGGTTAAGTGGACAAAAAGCAACAAGTTGTACGTCTAAATAAACAAATCACCCCAAATAAGCGTCAGCCTTCTCACAGCCCCGCTGGCAGTGAACCACAGACCCGAGCTGCTCCGAGCAGAGCCCTTCTGCCTTTCTGTGCTCCTGACATGCAGGGGGAGTAAAAAAAAGTGACAGAAATCTAAAGAAAAGAGCTGGAAAAGAGAGAGGAGACATGAAATAAAGCGACACGTGGAAGGACAATGAGAGAAAAGGAGGAAAAGATGCCGTGGTACAGAGAGAAATGGGAGAAATGGAGAGAGGGAGCGAGCTGCTGGTTCAGTAGAGAGTGGAGACGCAGGAGCAAAATTGAAAATCATGGATGGGCAGAGAGACAGCAAGATAACTGGGATGCATTTTAAAACTGATAAGCAAAAAAGAACAAAAAGAAGTGGGATTAAAATTAAAGGATGAGCGTCTCTAAGGAGAACTCATCTTATCCTTTACTGCAAAGTGTGATGGGATTCAACATCAAAATTTAGGTAAAAATATCTTCAAAACAAAGATATTATTAATTGGAAAGCAGACATAAATGGTCATGAAAATGAAGGACAGTATATTAAAACATAACAAGTGGCAAATCATGGAAATATAATCCCAGAGGCCAAAGGAGGAGGTGCCACGCATGGATAAACAAGACCAGCCATGGACGTTCATACTCGCTCCAAGGGTTGATTTATAACAGCCATTAACCCAACATATTCTGGACAATGGGAGTGTTTCACAGTATACAGAGAGAACCCATGTACGCACAGAGAGAACATGTTGACTCAACCACAGAGAGGCCTCAGGATTCAAACTGGAACCCTAAACCTATTTTACTGATATTTGTGCGATCAATAACTGCAGTGATATCCAGTTTAAACCCAATCTGCTGTGGCAGACGCTTCCTCATCTGAGTGCGCTTGCACGTGCACGAGCGTTTGACGGAGTAAAAGGCGTGGAGAGATAGCGATGGGGGAATGTAATGTGTCCAAAGACATCTCTCTGATTAAGGACTTTGGGGCTGACACTGTAATTAAATATGGAGAAGCTGCACAGCTCTTACACACTCGCACACAAAAAGCTCTCAAGTCACTCCAACACTCGCAGCTCAGTGTAGAGTTTACCAGAGAAGGTCATTTGATGGCAATTAAATAGTCTCACACACACTCACACTTTTTTTTTTCTGTATTTCTTCGGGTTACCCACTTGTACCATAATCACCAGCCTTAACAGAAAATTATCTGAAGTCATATTAAACTCTTCTCTGAGACATTCTTATGATGCCAGTAAGGAAACGTTATGGAAAAATCTATTTTTCCTTTTCTAGGGAGTCCATATTTAGGTTAAGTCAAACTCATCAAAAATAAAATCTTGTGTTTTTTTCCAAGTACAGCTTTCTGTGGAGATTTATCATTTATTAGCCAATAAGATTTTTAATTCCAAACATATTCCCTATTCAAGTTCACCCCACCTACTCACACTTAGTCATTTAAAACCGACAGCTTTAACTGGTTAGGTACATCCAAAGGTTCGAGTAGCGCTCCACCCACAAACTCTTTGCAAACGCACGTGCATAAAAGTCTCTTACCTCCACGAAGATGAAGCAGGGGATGATGGAGTAGCTGCGCAGGGTGTTGTTGGATGCCATCTTGTCTCCTGTTGGGAGACTTGTGCTCGCAGGGTTCACAGCAGCTCACTCTGCAGCGACACAGAAACATCAGGCGTCAGCTTCCATTATCTAATCACAACAGACATGCGCTCGTGCCACTGCCATGTACCGCAGTGGATCCATTTTTTTAAAGTCTCCCCTTGGTGTCAATCAAATGTGATACTGACTGACCACCAACAGTCACAAGGTGCACCGTCACAGAGCATCTGACCATCGTAAAGGTTTGATATCGGTATATTGGAATATTCAATGTCTCGTGACTATAGAGGAAATATGTGTGCTGATATTTCATGTTTAATCTGTGTAGCTTTTGCATGTTGAAATAATGGGACATTGTCACATTTTAAGACACATAAAATGTGGAACTAGATATTTATTCGAATCCTAGAGTGATGTTATGCTGGTGCTAATTCTATTCGATAACTTACAAATATGTTTTATGGCCAAAAAAAAGAAAATTCCCATTAATCAGCTCTTTTTATTGAATCCTCGATTTAATTTAGCTGAAATGTGTTGAAGAGCATGTCACTTTTGTTTCATTTCAATTTTCTCCCTTCACAATGAAAGTCTAAAATGACTTCTTGTTTATTTGAAACTCATTTTCAAATTAGTGGCAGCCCTAGAGGTTCTTTATCGTTTCAATGGGTATAAATCAGAGAAGGTGTCAAAAGAAAGTCATAAATGTCAGTATTTGTGGCAGCGATGCTTGATGTAGTGCTAGTAATCAAAGCTCTTTTCTGCCACTGATATTAAACAGGCATAAATGTTTTATGAAGCTGTAATCGGCCTTAATTCCCAGTTAAAGAATAAAGTGCCAGATTTGAGCTCCAGTCTGCGATTTGCACAGTCCCTGAATAATGAACTTGGTGAGTATGGAGTGGAGTGTAGAGGGAGGAAACGTTGTAGTCTCAGCCTCTGCAGAAAATCCCAGCTCCTCGCACAAAAAAAAAACTAAATAAACTTCTGGATTGCCTTATTAAGCAGAGTTACTGGACAACTGTCCCTGTAGGAAAGATGCATCCACAGCCAAAGTCACTTCACAGACATTGTCCTGTTACCTGAATAGGGGCTTTGTCAAATATAAAACTACTTGCAGTGTCAGTGTGGAAATGGTTTAAGCAAATGCAAGTCAACACACAGTACAAATGTTGGGATTTTGAGTTACAATGTTTGAGAAAAATACAGAAAAGCATGACTACAAGAACAGCTTTATTGGCACACTTAGACTTTATTATTCTACCAGAACATGAAACTTTGCAGTATGTGAGGAATGATTTGCCAATTTGAGAGTAGCTGAATACACCCATGCTTATTGGAGGATCTGAAAGTCTTTAATTATTTTTACAAGTCTTGCTTCCTTTAGACTGGTACAATAATTTGGTATACCCCAGGTTAGGAAAGTGTAATAATGTTCTCTGATGTGTCCTCTTACTTCTTTTGGAAGATTAAAAAACAGAACGCTCTTCGTATTCTCTAGTTGTTCTAGAAGTTAAACGTCCCTGTCAGGAAGAATGTACCAAACAAGGCATAGAATTATCACTGTCATTGGCATTTATTTAATCATAATGTCAGATAAAGATATTTATTCTCCTGACTGACAAATTCTCCCCAAGTTTCGCTGCTCTCTCACACACCTCAATCTCCCTCAGTCATTAGACACGGTCGGACAGTGATGCTGGCAGGTCTAATCAGCCCGTAAGTGCCTGTCACATCTCATTTAACACTCCATCATGGCCACTCGAATTGACATTAGATAGCAACATCTGACTGTCAGTCAGCATCACAGCTCTCTTTAGTTGAGTTTCACCAGAAAAATAATGTATGTCGGTGTAAACAAAACCAGCAGTCACAAATAACCACAGCCTTCTGTCTGTGTGACTGCAGGTCAAATATAACTTTACACAAACTCAAGAGAAGAGCCTACATCAATGTATCTTTTCTTCTCTTGGAGAAAGATCAGACTTGAATTTGCTGCCACGACTAGAACAGTATAGACTGAATTCCCTGTTTAAACGCCACTTGAGTGGGAACGTTTTGGGTAAATTTTAAGCGAGAGTTCTCGCAGTTTCTCGCAGGAGAGATTTGCACACACCTCCGAGAATCCATAAATAATCTACAGACCAAAGATCCATCGAATCCATTCTTATTGACACCATCAGCCTCCACTGATTTGGCAACATGCAGATTAAAGTACAGAAAAAAAATCAGCCAGAGTTAAATGAATGCTCATTGATATAAATACATAAAAAGGCAGAATTACCAGTCAGGTTATTGCTGTTATACAAAGGAATTCAGGGAAAATAATGACTTAACAATTATTCGAACACCCAAAAATAGGGATATAACTACAATTTTCTTGCACAGAAAAAAAATGCCAGTGTGAAAAAATGAAAATCAACCCCTAGGTTCAGCACCTAGCAGCACAGCATGTTTGCTTTAAATGACTGTACAACCTAAGGTGACTTTACAGGGCATGTGTCTGAAAATGAAAGGGAATTTGAATTCCAAACCATTTCAGTCCAGCTCAGATACAAGCTTCCCCAGTAAAAAATGTGTTTGAACGCAAGATGCAAGGTTTTCTAGCCAAGATCTCATCTAAGATGGAACCAAAGACAAATAGCCATGGGTTCTGACATCAGACTAGTCCATATTTCAACTGCCTTTGGAGGATAAAACTAAACTTACTTCTGGTTCGTCAATCATAGATGAGAATGAGCACAAATAGTGGTTGGTGATGACGATTGGGTGCAGCATCATTTATGGTATGAATCACTTACGTTATTGTAAAGTAAACACTAAAGCAGAGGTGCTCATGGAAACATTTTAGGTGCCATTAATATAACAGGTGAGGGACTCTTTCACTTCTTTCTGCACAACTCACAAAAACATGCCTTCAGAAACATAAACGTTTGTGTGCTTGAGTGATCTGGTTCCTCTCTGAAACATGAAGATCCAGACGACTAAAGCCACCAAATGGCTAATTGAAATCCTATATTCAGTGGGAATGTTCGATGACTGGCCAGAAACAAAAGCAGCAAATTAATCTAATAAATGTCAGCTTTAAAAAAGTACAAATTGACGATTTTGTTGGCTTTTAGGAAACAAATATCTACCTTTCTCGCAAAAGGACATGTAGCACTTGTACCTTACATAATGAAACAGTCTGCTGACAGTGTGGAAGTAAAGAACATGATGTTTCACGTTTTTGTTCTTTTTTATTCTGGATTTCTTTTCCACATTCTGGGTAAAAAGCGTCAAAGTGATAAATAGAACAAACTAAATTAAACTGTGATATCACTAGCACCAACAAAAAATAATAAAAATAATAATGGAATAAAATAACTGGCAAGAAAAGAACATACAAATTTGAGTAGTATGCTCGGAAAACCAGTTCTGTGGACATTAGACCAGATTCAATGTGGTAATAAAACTCCCCATGAAGACTGTTCCTAAATAGCTAACACAACAAAGAATCCATGGCACTCAGCCAGCCTCCAGCCTGTCGAGGTCCAGCTGCTCCAACAGCCAGGAGAACTTCCTGTCACACCTGTCAGGAACCAAAGACTCTCAGGGGTCCTCTCCCTTCTTAACATCAAAATAAAAAAACATGGCTCTTATGTTCATTTTATTTACTTGATGTTTTGCAAATTTAGGGAGGATTTTTAACCTGCAGTTGGTTTAGGTTACATTATTAGTGCTCTTATACACACATTTTCGCAGTGCAAAACAGTTTTATTTTCCAACAGCAAGCTGCAAGATTTATTTAAAAACGCTCAAAAGGAATTCCAGTGATGGAAAGTAGTTAAATCGGCAAGCGTCCAATTCGAACATGATCGAGTTTTGACGTGGTGTGTGTTTGTGGCAGAAGACGGATGCGGCCACAGATGCTAAAAAACATCTTAAATAGTTTGTTCTACTGGTCTGAGAGCAACAACAGAGACTAAACAGATTACAGGAACAGAGACTTTGTAAGACTGCAACTGGGGCCTGGCTGATTTTTTTACTGGAGGCTGTGTGACAGATGATTTGAATGCAAACCGTTGTAAGTGTGAAGGATTTTACAGCACATACATTTATTCTCTCTCACACCCGAGCTCCGACGAGTCACAGCTCATGACGATTAGATGAAGGCACAGCCAAATTCTCTTTTTCTGACGCCCCGGGACATCTCTTTTTTTTTAAGGGAAGTTCCAAAAAAACTCAAGCGTGGAGCACTTCAGTCCAGTTCCGAGAGGCGGTTAATTACAGCGAGATGAAAGGTGATCAGATCGTCTACCCAAAGGAGAGCTCACGACACGGCCGGATTCATCAACGTCTCCTCCACTCAGCCACTCAGCGGTGATGACTCTGTCTGAATGTGACCGTTCTCCTCTCAGAGAGAGCAGGAGCGGACAGAAAGATCACGACCGAATAACAATATCCGAGTCAGCAGCCTAGTTGTTCCGTTGGTTTGTGCTCGGAGTGAATTACCTGCTACGACGACGTGGTTAAAGATTGAGTTGAAAGTCAGCAGCGAGGCCTGAAAAAAAGAAGATGTCTTGTGCCAGTATGTGGACCAAGTGGCCCCAGTATGGCCTTTCCACACAACCACAGAACAAAACAAACTCACAAATGCTGCTAAATGTACTCTGTGTACTGTAAATGCTGGCAAAAATCATTTCTAAAACGATTATTTCACTTAATTGGGAATCTTGTCTTGCAGTTACATGTATTTTTTAGGAGCTCAATGGTTCTGGAGCAACCGTGAGCTTTAGTATATTCATAATGAACCATGTTTTAGGTACATATTTAGAATTATATTCATATACACATAATAGCAGCTTTATGGGTTAATCTCAAATGTGCACACACCTGAAACCCAAGAAGTTGTGCTTGTTGGAACTGTTGGAAAAGAATCACAAGCCTTCCTGTTGGACTGATTTGATGGGAAACAACCTTCACGACCAGCAGGCTTTAAAGCGTGGCGTGCTCATCCACAAGCCCATAACGATTTGCAAAAAAAAGTCTCAATTGGCACAGACAGACTGACTCATGGTTGTCTGTATAAAAGGCTTTTTTGAATGATGGCAGAAAGTTCTGGTGGCAGAGATGCTTC